ATAATAATAATAATAATAATAATAATAATAATAATAATAATAATAATAATAATAATAATAATAGTAATAATAATAATAATAATAATGAGGATTATAATAATAATGATAATGATAATGATAATAATAATAATGATAATAGAAATAATAATGATAATAATAATGATAATAATAATGATGATAATAATAATGATAGTAATAATGATAATAATAATAATGATAAGAATAATGATAATAATAATAATGATAATGATAATAATAATAATAATAATAATAATAATAATAATAATAACAATAATAATAATAATAATAATAATAATAATAATAATAATAATAATAATAATATTAATAATAACTAGGCAATTACCCCTTGATATTTTGAAACCAGCGCCTGATGACAAGTTTTAGAACTCGGTAAGATCTTTCCAACGAGATACTAAACGCTTTCAACAGCAGAAAATAGAGCAAGATATTATCGCATCAAATTCTACACTAGTTCAGAGTGAAATCAGAATAATACTAATAATAATAATAATAATAATAATAATAATAATAATAATAACAATAATAATAATAATAATAATAATAATAATAATAGTAGTAGTAATAATAATAATAGTAATAATAATACTAATAATAATAGGAATAATAATAATAGTAATAATAATAACAATAGTAATAATAATAATAGTAATAATAATAATAGTAATAGTAATAATAATAATAATAATAATAATAATAATAATAATAATAATAATAATAATAATAATAATAATAATAATAATAATAATAATAATAATAATAATAACAATAATAATAATGACAATAATAATAATAACAATAACAATAATAACAACAACAACAACAATAATAATAATAATAATGATAATAATAATAATAATAATAATAATAATAATAATCATAATGATAATAATGATGATAATAATAATAATAATGATAATAATAATGATACTAATTATAATGATAATAATAATATTGATAATAATAGTAATGATAATAATAGTAATGCAAATAATAATAATGATAATAATAATAATGATAATAATAATAATGATAATAATAACAATGATAATAATACCAATGATAATAATAACAATGATAATAGTAACAATGATAATAATAAAAACGATAATAATAACAATGATAATAATAACAATGATGATACTAACAATGTTAATGATAATAATAATAATAATAATAATAATAATAATAATAGTAATAATAATAGTAATAATAATAATAATAATAAGAATAATAATAATAATAATAATAATAATAGTAAAAATAGTAATAATAATAATAATAATAATAATAATAATAATAATAATAATAATATAACAATAATAATACCCCTAATAATAATAATAGTAATAATGATGATGATAATAATAATAATATAGTAATAATAATAATAGTAATAATAATAGTAATAATAATAATAGTAATAATAATAATAGTAATAATAATAGTAATAATAATAATAGTAATAATAATAATAGTTATAATAATAATAATAGTAATAGTAATAATAATAATATGAATAATAATAATAATAATTATAATAATATTAATAATAATAATAATAATAATAATAATAATAATAATAATAATAATAATAATAATAATAATAATAATAATAATAATAATAATAATAATAGTAATAATAATAAGAATAAGAATAAGAATAATAATAATAATTATAATAATAATAATAATAATAATAATAATAATAGTAATAATAATAATAATGAGGATTATAATAATAATGATAATGATAATGATAATAATAATAATGATAATAATAATAATAATGATAATAATAATGATAATAATAATGATGATAATAATAATAGTAATAATGATAATAATAATAATGATAATAATAATGATAATAATAATAATGATAATAATAATAATAATAATAATCATAATATGTTACAAGGATAAACACATAACAAGATATGAGTGTCACAAATACTTAGCCTTATCTCTATGATTTAGCGTTTTCAGCAAAAATAGAGCACTTTTAGCGTAAATAAAGTGTAGTTTAGTAATTAGGCAATCATCCCTTGATATTTTGAAACTGGCGCCTGAAAACAAGTTTTAGAACTCGGTAAGATCTTTTCAACGACATATTAAACGCTTTCAACGGCACAAAATAGAGCAAGATATGATCGCATCAAATTTTGCACGAGTTCGGAGTGAAATCAGAAACATTTGTGAATATATGGTTAATCTGTAACATTTAATTAATGCATTGTAAATGAAGTTGGAACAATAGCATTAGAGCGTCCGATCTATCTTTCCAACTAGATATAATACGATCCAAACGGATAAACACATAGCAAGATATGAGTGTCACAAATACTTAGCCTTATCTCTATGATTTAGCATTTTCAGCGAAAATAGAGCACTTTTAGCGTAAATACAGTGTATTTTAGTAATTAGGCAATCATGCCTTGATATTTTGAAACCAGCGCCTGAAGACAAGTTTTAGAAATCGCTAAGATCTTTGTAACGAGATATTAAACTCTTTCAACAGCACAAAGAATAGCAAGATATGATCACATCAAATTCTACACGAGTTCGGAGTGAAATCAGAAGCATTTGTGAATATATGGTTAATCTGTAACTTTTAATTAATGCATTATAAATGAAGTTGGAAAAATAGCTTTATAGCTCCGATCTATCTTTCCAATGAGATATAATACGCTCCAAATGGATAAACACCAGCAAGATATGAGTGTCACAAATACTTAGCCTTATCTCTATGATTTAGCGTTTTCAGCGAAAATAGAACACTTTTAGCGTAAATACAGTGTAGTTTAGTAATTAGGCAATCATCCATTTAATAATAATAATAATAATAATAATAATAATAATAATAATAATAATAATAATAATAATAATAATAATAATAATAATAATAATATCCCTTGATATTTTGAAACAAGCGCCTGACGTCAAGTTTTATAACTCGGTAAGATCTTTCCAATGAGATACTAAACGCTTTCAACGGCACAAAATAGAGCAAGATATGATCGCATCAAATTCTACACGAGTTCAGAGTGAAATCAGAAACATTTGTGAATATATGGTTAATCTATAACTTGTAATTAATGCATTGTAAATGAAGTTGGAACAATAGTTTTAGAGCCCCGATCTATCTTTCCAACGAGATATATTACGCTCCAAACGGATAAACACACAACAAGATATGAGTGTCACAAATACTTAGCCTTATCTCTATGATTTAGCGTTTTCAGCGAAATGGTCGGTGAAGATGTATGGCGTATTGATAATGAAACACAGGTGGATGATGTGTGGTTATCAATGGAGTTGACCATTAACAAAGTGGCAAAGGAGGTACTTGGAGAATCTAAAGGATGTCGGCCACCTAAAAAGGACACATCTTGGTGGAATGATGAGGTGAAACAAGCCATAAGGAACAAAAGAGATTGCTACAAAAAGTTGGGGACAAATTGGAGTGATGAGAACATAGAAGCATACAGGGAGGCTAAAAGACAAGCAAAGAAAGCCGTAAGGGAAGCACGAGGGAAAGTGAACAAGGAGTTGTATGAAAAGTTGGACTCTAAGGAAGGAGAACCAGATATTTATAGACTTGCTCGTCTTCGTGATCGCAGAACTCAAGATATTGCAAAAGTTAAGTGTGTGAAGGATGTTGATCAGAGGATATTAATGGACGACGGAGAGATAAAAGAGAGGTGGAGGTCATACTTTGATACATTATTCAACGGGAACAAAACGCAAGATATCGGCGATTTGTCCATACCAGATTGTATGGTAAACCGTGATTTTGTGAGAAGGATCCAAACAACGGAAGTTAAATAAGCTCTGAGGAAGATGGGACAGAAAAGAGCAATGGGGCCAGATGGCATACCAATCGAGGCTTGGAGAAGTTTGGGAGAGAGAGGCGTCGAGTGGTTAACAAGTTTCTTCAACATGATTTGGAGAAACAACAAGATGCCAACGAGTTGGAGGAAGAGTACTCTTATCCCTTTATTTAAGAATAAAGGTGATGTACAAGAATGTGCCAACTATCGAGGGATTAAGCTTATGAGTCACACCATGAAACTTTGGGAGCGAGTGATTGAGCAAAGACTTCGAAGGACTGTGAAGATTTCAGAGAATCAATTCGGTTTTATGCCTGGTCGCTCAACAACTGAGGCTATTCACCTTCTTCGTCAACTTATGGAGAAGTATAGAGATGCTCATAAGGATCTGCATTTGGTGTTCATTGACTTAGAAAAGGCATATGATAGGGTACCTCGAGAAGTTCTTTGGTGGGCCTTAACTAGGAAAAGCATATCACGTAAGTATATCAGCATCATCATGGATATGTATGAGGATTGTACTACAAGTGTTCGTACTAGTGTAGGGAGGACTGAAGAGTTCCCTATTACTATCGGAGTGCACCAAGGATCGGCCTTGAGTCCTTTCTTATTTGCCATAGTCATGGATGAACTTACGAAGTCAATTCAAGACGATATACCGTGGTGCATGATGTTTGCCGACGACATTGTATTGATTGATGAGACGCAATCAGGTCTTAAAGCAAAGTTGGAAGTATGGCGACAAACATTGGAGAATAAGGGTTTCAAACTAAGTCGGAGCAAGACAGAGTACATGGAGTGCAAGTTTGGTGGAGGTAGAAGTAGTGGTAATAGCGGAATTACTCTGGGTGGTAAGGAGATACCAGTCAGCGATATGTTCCGTTACTTGGGCTCCATAATTCAGAAGGACGGTGAGTTAGATGGAGATGTATCCCATAGAATCAGAACAAGGTGGATGAAGTGGAAGAGTGTGTCAGGATTTCTATGCGACCGAGGTATGCCGACTAGACTGAAGGGTAAATTTTATAGGACATCAATTAGGCCTGCATTACTGTATGGCGTAGAGTGTTGGGCGGTGAAACAATGTCACATTCAAAAGATGAGTGTGGCAGAGATGCGCATGCTGCGTTGGATGTGTGGGCATACTAGGAAGGACCGCGTGAGGAATGAGACAATCAGACAAAGGGTGGGAGTAGCACTTATTGAAGACAAGATGCGGGAGTCGCGCCTACGGTGGTTTGGTCATGTGCGTAGAAGACCGAGTGATGCACCTATTAGGCGAGTTGAGATGTGTGGAGAAGAGGCAGGGAAGAGAGGGAGAGGAAGACCGAAACAGACGTGGGTTAGGGGAGTTCGAAGTGATATGCTTCTTCTGGGGTTGGATGAGGGCATGACTTTGGAGAGAACTAAGTGGAGGGCGGGTATTCACGTGAAGGAGTGATCTTGATAATCTTTTTCCCTCATCTTTTTTTTTTCCTAGTTTTTTTTATCCTTATATATATATATGCATTATTTGCAGCCTTTTTATTTTATCATTTTTATATATATTCATCTTTTTTATATTATCTTTTCATAATAGCATATCTTTTTATCTTTATTCCTTCTTTTCCTTTTGGTTGTGATATCATGTATCGATTCATGTTAGCCGACCCCAATATCTTTTGGGACTAAGGCTTGGATGTTGTTGTTGTTGTTGTTGTAGCGAAAATAGAGCACTTTTAGCGTAAATAAAGTATATTTTAGTAATTAGGCAATCATCTCTTGATATTTTGAAATCAGCGCCTGAAGACAAGTTTTAGAACTCGGTAAGATGTTTCCAACGAGATATTAAACGCTTTCAACGGCAAAAATTAGAGCAGGATATGATCGCATCAAATTATACACGAGTTCGCAGTGAAATAAAAAACATTTGTGAATATATGGTTAATCTGTAACTTTTATTTAATACATTATAAATGAAGTTGGAACAATAGCTTTAGATCCCGATCTATCTTTCCAACGAGATATAATACGCTCCAAACGGATAAACACACAGCAATATATGAGTGTCACAAATACTTAGCCTTATCTCTATGATTTAGCGTTTTCAGCGAAAATAGAGCACTTTTAGCATAAATATAGTGTATTTTAGTAATTAGGTAATCATCCCTTGATATTTTGAAACAGCGCCTGAAGACAAGTTTTAGAACTGGGTAAGATCTTTCCAACGAGATATTAAACGCTTTCAACGGCACAAAATAGAGGAAGATACATATCATGCTCTATTTTGTGCCGTGCGTTTAATATCTCGTTGGAAAGATCTTACCGAGTTATAAAACTTGTCTTCAGGCGCTGTTTCAAAATATCAAGGGATGATTGCCTAATTACTAAAATACACTGTATTTACCTAAAAGTGCTCTATTTTCGCTGAAAACGCTAAATCATAGAGATAAGGCTAAGTATTTGTGACACTCATATCTTGCTGTGTCTTTATCCATTTGGAGCGTATTATATCTCGTTGGAAAGATTGATCGGGGATCTAAAGCTATTGTTCCAACTTCACTTACAATGCATTAATTAAAAGTTACAGATTAACCATATATTCACAAATGTTTCTGATTTCACTCCGACTCGTGTAGAATTTGATGCAATCATATCTTGCTCTATTTTGTGCCGTTGAAAGCGTTTAATATCTCGTTGGAAAGATGTTACCGAGTTCTAAAACTTGTCTTCAGGCGGATAAACACACAACAAGATATGAGTGTCACAAATACTTAGCTTTATCTCTATGATTTAGCGTTTTCAGCGAAAAGAAAGCACTTTTAGCGTAAATACAGTGTATTTTAGTAATTAGGCAATCATCCCTTGATATTTTGAAACCAGCGCCTAAAGACAAGTTTTAGAATTCGGTAAGATCTTCCCAACGAGATAATAAACGCTTTCAACGGCACAATAGAGCAAGATATGATCACATTAAATTCTACACGAGTTCGGAATGAAATCAGAAACATTTGTGAATATATCGTTAATCTGTATATTGTAATTAATGCATTTGTGAAACCATATTTTATTATTATTATTACTATTATTATTATTATTATTATTATTATTATTATTATTATTATTATTATTATTATTATTATTATTATTATTATTATTATTATTATTCTTATTATTATTATTATTATTATTATTATTATTATTATTATTATTATTATAATTATTATTAGTAGTAGTAGTAGTAGTAGTATTATAATAATTATTATTATTATAATTATTATAATAATATTAATTATTATTATTATTATTGTTGTTGTTGTTTTTGTTGTTGTTATTATTATTATTATTATTAATATTATTATTAATATTATTATTAGTATTAGTATTATTATTGTTGTTGATGTTGTTATTGTTATTATAATTATTATTATTTTTATTTCTATTATTATTATTATTATTATTATTAAAATTCTTATTATTATTATTATTATTATAATTATTATTATTACTATTACTATTAGTATTACTATTTTTATTACTATTATTATTACTATTATTATTACTATTATTATTAGTATTATTATTATTATTAATATTATTATTATTAGTATTATTACTATTATTATTATTATTAATATTATGATTATTATTATTATTATTATTGTTATTATTATTATTATTATTATTATTATAATTATTATTATTATTATTATTATTATTATTATTATTATTATTATTATTATTATTATTATTATTATTATTATTATTATTATTATTATTAGCTCCGATGTATCTTTCCAACGAGACATAATACGCTCCAAACGGTTAAACACACAGCAAGATATGAGTGTCACAAATACTTAGCCTTATCTCTATGATTTAGCGTTTTCAGCGAAAATAGAGCACTGTTAGCGTAAATACAGTGTATTTTAGTAATTAGGAAATCATCCCTTGATATTTTGAAACCAGCGCCTAAAGACATGTTTTAGAACTCGGTAAGATCTTTCCAATGAGATATTAAACGCTTTCAACGGCACAAAATAGAGCAAGATATGATCGCATCAAATTCTACACGAGTTCAGAGTGAAATCAGAAACATTTGTGAATATCTGGTTAATCTGTAACTTTTAATTAATGCATTGTAAATGAAGCTGGAACAATAGGTTTAGAGCTCCGATATAGCTTTCCAACGAGATCTAATACGCTCCAAACGGATAAACCCACAACAAGATATGAGTGTCACAAATACTTAGCCTAATCTCTATGATTTAGCGTTTTCAGCGAAAATAGAGCACTTTTAGCGTAAATACAGTGTATTTTAGTAATTAGGCAGTCATCCATTGATATTTTGAAACCAGATCCTGAAGACAAGTTTTAGAACTCGGTAAGATCTTTCCAACGAGATATTAAACGCTTTGAACGGCACAAAATAGAGCATGATATGATCGCATCACATTCTACACGAGTTCAGAGTGAAATCAGAAACATTTGTGAATATATGGTTAATCTGTAACTTTTAATTAATGCATTGTAAATGAAGTTGGAACAATAGCTTTAGATCTCCGATCTATCTTTCCAACGATATGTAATACGGTCCAAACGGATAAACACACAGCAAGATATGAGTGTCACAAATACTTAGCCTTATCTCTATGATTTAGCGTTTTCAGCGAAAATAGAGCTCTTTAAGCGTAAATACAGTGTATTTCAGTAATTAGGAAATCATCCCTTGATACTTTGAAACCCGGGCCTGAAGACAAGTGTTAGAACTCGGTATGATCCTTCCAACGAGATATTAAACGCTTTCAACGGCACAAAATAGAGCAAGATGTGATCGCCTCAAATTCTACACGAGTTCGGAGTGAAATCAGAAACATTTGTGAATATATGGTTAATCTGTAACTTTTAATTAATGCATTGTAAACGAAGTTGGAACAATAGCTTTAGATCTCCGATCTATCTTTCCAACGAGATATAATACGCTCCAAATGGATAAACACACAGCAAGATATGAGTGTCACAAATACTTAGCCTTATCTCTATGATTTAGCGTTTTCAGCGAAAATAGAGCACTTTTAGCGTAAACACAGTGTATTTTAGTAATTAGGCAATCATCCCTTGATATTCTGAAACAAGAGCATGAAGACAAGTTTTAGAACTCGGTAAGATCTTTCCAACGAGATATTAAACGCTTTTAATGGCACAAAATAGAGCATGATATGATCGCATCACATTCTACACGAGTTCGGAGTGAAATCAGAAACATTTGGGAATATATGGTTAATCTGTAACTTTTAATTAATGCATTGTAAATGAAGTTGGAACAATAGCTTTAGATCTCCGATCTATCTTTCCAACGAGATATAATACGCTCCAAACGGATAAACACACAGCAAGATATGAGTGTCACAAATACTTAGTCTTATCTCTATGATTTAGCGTTTTCAGCAAAAATAGAGCACTTTTAGCGTAAATACAGTGTATTTTAGTAATTAGGCAATCATCCCTTGATATTTTAAAACCAGCGCCTGACGACAAGTTTTAGAACTCGGTAAGATCTTTCCAACGAGATATTAAATGCTTTCAACGGCACAACATAGAGCAAGATATGATCGCATCAAATTCTACACGAGTTCGGGGTGAAATCAGAAACATTTGTGAATATATGGTTAATCTGTAACTTTTAATTAATGCATTGTAAATGAAGTTGGAACAATAGCTTTAGAGCTCCGATCTATCTTTCCAACGAGATATAATACCCTCCAAACGGATAAACACACAGCAAGATATGAGTGTCACAAGTACTTAGTCTTATCTCTATGATTTAGCGTTTTCAGCAAAAATAGAGCATTTTTAGCGTAAATACGCTCCAAACGGATAAACACAGAGCAAGATATGAGTGTCACAAATACTTAGCCTTATCTCTATGATTTAGCGTATTCAGCGAAAATAGAGCACTTTGAGCGTAAATACAGTGTATTTTAGTAATTAGGCAATCATCCCTTGATAATATGAAACCAGAGCCTGAAGACAAGTTTTAGAACTCGGTAAGATCTTTCCAACGAGTTATTAAACGCTTTGAATGGCACAAAATAGAGCATGATATGATCGCATCACATTCTACACGAGTTCGGAGTGAAATCAGAAACATTTGTGAATATATGGTTAATCTGTAACTTTTAATTAATGCATTGTAAATGAAGTTGGATCAATAGATTTAGATCTCCGATCTATCTTTCCAACGAGATATAATACGCTCCAAACGGATAAACACACAGCAAGATATGAGTGTCACAAATACTTAGCCTTATCTCTATGATTTAGCGTTTTCAGCGAAAATAGAGCACTGTTAGCGTAAATACAGTGTATTTTAGTAATTAGGCAATCATCCCTTGATATTCTGAAACCAGAGCATGAAGACAAGTTTTAGAACTCGGTAAGATCTTTCCAACGAGATATTAAACGCTTTTAATGGCACAAAATAGAGCATGATATGATCGCATCACATTCTACACGAGTTCGGAGTGAAATCAGAAACATTTGGGAATATATGGTTAATCTGTAACTTTTAATTAATGCATTGTAAATGAAGTTGGAACAATAGCTTTAGATCTCCGATCTATCTTTCCAA